ATTTATAATATAATATTGTATATATTTATCATATATAATATTACAAAATAAAGCTGGATATAATCTTATTCTTACATATTCTATAATTTTTCTAAGTAAATTTTTTTTGACATAAATAAAACTAACTTACATAAACCTAATTTTTAAAGCCTCAAGGGCTTCATGTGTTTTATATTCATCTTGATTAGTAAATGTCTTGCCACAACCTCGTTGTTTACAAGTATATACTTCCTAAAAATATAATTTAATTAAATATTTATTATAAATAATCTTACATAAAATATACATAATTTTTACATATACGCGCGCGCGCCCCCCCCTCACACATACACACGCGCGCGCGCGCACGCACACGCACACACACACACGCACGCACGCAAACTTAAATTTCTAATATTGTAATTTTTGTTAAAAATTTCAAAAACGTTAATTAATTAACAATAATCATCAAATCTTTCTCTGTATACACAATATAACATAAAATTACATTATTTTACTAATTCTGTTCTTCTTCTATTCTTTATAGTATTATTTTTTACCAGTAAAGGCATTAACTTTAAACATAACGAAATAAGTTAATAACTACAGATAAACACTGAACGATTTGTTTTGAGTTAGGGGTCATTGAACCCATTAAGTGGATCCGGTGATTTTACCTTTTTTGGGGCTATTTCTTCAATGGTACGATTCCTAGACACGAATTTGATGACGCTAACTTCAGCAGGCCTATCTGTACAGGTATCCGTACCTTGGCCCATCCTGGCCAATATGCAAGAAAAACGATGAATAATGACGCGTTTCGATGCTCACATAACCTGCACTCACCAACAGGAATTCAGAAGGGAATTTTTCTTGCACCTTGAATGAAAGTCCCAAATACACGATCATTTTCACGAACGGGACGCTTTGTCGGGCTACTTACCAACAAAGTGCACTCCCGTTCGTGCCGAAATACCTTCCCTTTTTCACCTCATATTCTACAACTGTCAATAATATCAATCATTTGTTGTCATTTCAATATACTCAAGCTACTTCATCGTAAATACATATTCACCATAGTCTTTCTGTCCACCATTATCACGAATTTCATGTCGACAGTCGGTTGAGAACCACTGTAGTAGGATGCACCCTTCGATTTTTATTGTACCTATGTTCATATCAGTTCAAATTAACATATCGATCATAATATCGATAGTACTCCTTTCGATGAAACATTTATCGATTTTTAAAATATAATTTTTATCAATATTTGATAATTATTGTTTTTTATAAATAAATTTCATACTGAAAATTTGATAATTATATATATTCAGTAACAGAAATTGATGGATTATGTAAACTCTCTTTAAATATATATCTATATTACATTTCATGCATTTTTAATTTCTCACAATAAAAGACAAAATAAATAGTTAATGAATATTTTTAATCTCTATAATCAAATTATTCACCAATAATTGATAAAATATCGAATGATATTATCTTTTAAGTTAAAAAGCAAATTCTGAAAATAATCTATGTTGTAAATTCAAAATGATTATACAACTATTGTACAACCTTTTTCTATTCAGTTTAAAATATAATATACATTTTCAATTCGTTTTTATATAAAACATCCACCTATTGAAATAATAATTTACATAAATTTAATCAATTTATATATTCATCGTACTTGCAGATGTTAATATGTTAGTCACTATATAAACGTTGGCCGTGTTATTATTAGTCAGGATGTGACTAGTCAGACGATATCGATTTATTCAAGTATCTGATTTTATTGCGAATGTAAACTCTACTATGATGATCCACATTTAATTAAAATTCTCTAAGATAAATGTAATTGCTGTTTCCGTGGAAGAATGCACATTTTCTTGTTACTTTTTGCAACACTTTTTTTCACTCAAGAATGTACTTGTTATGTTCGCGGTAAAAGTAAGTCATTATGATTCGTTTCCCAACTCTTTATCACATGACAATATAGAATAAATTATACTTTTACATATTCTTATCATATCTCCCCTTTTTTAAAATGGGAATTAATTTATCTGTGTATTAATAATTTAAAGAAAAATTTATTTATTTAATAGATCTTCATATTTAAATTATAAATATGAATTAGTTGATTAATATGTTCATCATAACTAATTTTATGATATGAAAAAGTTGTTCAATTATTGCAATTATACTTAATGAACTTTCATTGAAATCGTAACAACATCTAACAAAATCCACCAAAAAAAGCAAAACTGTGATAAAGTATTAAGTAAATAAAAAATACAATATTTAATTAATTATAATTATCAATATCTCTTATTATTTTCTATTGTTACAAATAATGTAGCAAATGACAAAAATAAAGAAGAAGAAAGTCCTATGCCATCACAAATAACAGTAACATCTTGGAATGTAAGTTTGGTAAAAAATTCAATATATTCTTTCTGTTTTCTTTTTTTTTGCACGAAATAACAAAATAACAGTATTAATGTCTTAAAAATCTCTTTTTGAAAAAAGAAAAAATTCTGAAAAATTTAATTTTTACAAATGATAAAATTAATAGATAAAACTGTAAGATTATCAAAAATTCAAAAATATCGTGTTAACACTTTTCTATTATGACAATGGGAGATTAAAATGCATTATTTTTGTTTTTTTGCAGGATATGCCCTTCTCAGGAATTGTACTGGAAAATGGGAAGTGGGTTGGTAAAGGATATGCCTTTTACATTTTCAATTTAATTAGCTCAAAACTGAACTTTACATATACTATTATTCCACCAAAGGAACATATTTTGGGTAATGAAAGTAATGGTATTCTTGGTTTACTCTATGAAAAGGTATCATTTAAGAATTTATAATGTAATAAAACGAAGAAATTAAGATGAATACTTAGTTATTAAAAAATTTTATTTTATTCTATAGAAAGTAGATGTTGCTGTTGCATTTCTACCTGTATTATCAGAAATGCGGCAATATTGTTCATTCAGCACTGCACTTGATGAAACAAAATTAACTGCTGTGATGAAAAGACCTCAAGAATCAGCTACAGGATCTGGCCTTCTAGCACCTTTTGAAAGAATTGTCTGGTTGCTGGTTTTAGCGTCACTAATTTTTGTGGGACCAATAATCTATCTTTTTGCAAATATGAGGTTTCTGAAAAATTTGTTATTCCGAAGTTTTTCATATATAAATATTGGCTTAAAAGCTGTTTAAGTTCCTTAGATGTTTTTTAAATTTTATATTGACCTTTAATTTGACCTTTTAATTTAGAGCAAAATTATGGCACGATTCGACTTCTGAAAATTTCAGTTTGTCCTCCTGTTTCTGGTTCGTTTATAGTTCTCTTTTGAAGCAAGGAACAAACATTGTTGCTATAACAGGTGAAGTATATTAACTAATTTTAAGTATACATTATTATTACAATTTTTAACAATTAATTGTAATTTTATGGAATTGCAGACTCAACACGAATGCTTTTTGCTACCTGGTGGATTTTTATATTGATTTTAACGTCCTTTTATACGGCGAATCTTACCGCATTTCTTACAAAGCCTCAATTTACATTGTCTATTAGTTCTTTACAAGACATCGTTCATAAGGGATACAGTTGGATCACTTACAAAGGACGTATAGTTGATTTTCTTCTTTCTCAAGTAAGATATGAAAGAATTTTCATAAATCTTCAATACCTAATTGGATTATCATAATTAAAAATTATAATATATAAATATAATAGTGAAATATTAATACATTTCCAGAATGAGCAAAACGACCTAAGTTTATTGAATATAAGCAAATGGCAAGGAAAAGGTGTTTTTAAATATTATGAACCATCAAAAATTATATTAGAATCAGTCAGTACGAGTATGTATTGTTTTAAAGTATATGTAGAGGCGCCTGTAGGAATGCAACCCAACCTTTAGTATCGTACGGCAGGCATTTTTTTTATAAGGTTCTTTTTTCTTTGTAGGAAGACTTTTTTTAGCAGAGGCACATTACTTGCAAACTTTAATATTCAAGGATTACGTGAATAAAACTCGCCATCGTTTAGAGCATAATTTACGATGTACGTATGTTATAATGCCCGGTGGTATTTTAGTAACTAGTCGTGCCTTTGGATTTTCTCATGGCTCAAGTATTGAAAAACATATTAATAAAATGTAAGTGTTAATTATTATTTAATTAATTGATTTAACTATAATTGCTTTAAATCTTGTTTAATTGTGATTTAAAAATAAAGAGGATGTTTACTAGCTATAGTAAAAATATTTTAGAAATTTGTTAAATCAAAAATTTATTATCTAATTTTAGATTGTTAAGATTAATAGAAACTGGAATTATACAACACAGAAAAGAAGAAGATCTTCCATTAGCCGAAATCTGTCCAGTTGATCTCCGTTCGAGTGAAAGACAATTACGAAATACTGATCTTCTTCTGACATACAATGTTGTAGTGGGTGGATATACAATTGCTACTATTATATTTTTATTTGAATTAATTTATGCGTTTATATCATATCGTACACAAAATAGCAAAAAACAAGTATGCAGTCATCTTCCTTATTATGCTCCAAAAAAGAAAGCACAAAATCCTTCAAATAACAATATTCCTGTTCAAAATTATATGAATATATTAAAAAGAAGTCCACCAGCGATCTGTCAATACCCTAATAATATCTTTGTGCAAAGAAAACAACAACTTATTAATGGAAGAAGTTATTACGTAGTTACTGAACCAGATGGTGATCAAAAATTAATTCCTATCAGAGCTCCTTCTGCTTTTTTATTTCAGTACGCAGCCTAGTCGTATTAATCTTATTATATATCGGTATTTTTGGATTATAATATAATTAAATAATAAAAATAACTGGTTCCTAAGCAAGAAATTAATACTCAAGGAATAAGAAATTAAATATCTAAATCTTGAAAAAATTTTAAAATTGAAACTTGAAATCTGAATAAAAAATTTTTACATTATTTTGTCTTTATAGAAGTTTAAATAAAATTATTAAAATATACATTGTTAATGATTATTTTACAATTTATTTCTAATATAAATTTTTGAATTTTCCAAGATTTAGTAACTAAATCAAGCTCTGTTGCGTTTGCGCATAAACCTTAATGAGTAATGTGAAAAAGAAGCATAACCTTTATAATTTTTCATATTTCTAATTGTTAAATTTTTTAACTTTTTTATTGCTTAAAATCTTAATCAACAATGACAATAAACATATATTTGAAGATTCTTAATGTCAATAATATTAAATTTACAACGTTAGTAGGAATTTTATTTAGTAAATTCTATTTGTCTGTAACAGATTTATTAATTTCTTACACAGTTGGTAGTACTGAGTTTAAGATTGAGAAAAGTATAAGTTAGTAAACAATACAAATAGTAAATTGTTTCTTGAATTGCCCGGGCGTTTTCATAAATATCTACGTTTTTTCTGTATTTGTAAGATTTGTTGTTAATATTTAAAGTCAAATGTAGCCGATTATGTCTTTTGTCTCTTTCTCAGAAAATTAATATAACAAAATTAATAACAGAGAAAATACTGTTGGATAAAATAAAATAATATAATATAATAAAGTACTTTCCTATCGTGTCTGTTACTAAGCTTAAGATAATTCGTAAAATAAATTTACATATTACTTTTCTGATATTTTGAAATGAATCATTTTTAAATTGCATAAACGTTTTTATTTCAAGTAAAATCATTGTATTATCATTGTTTTGCACATACTAACAATGAAATGCTTTTTAGAAATAGGGAGTGAAATGGCTGAGGAAGAAATCTGTGGATTTTTAGATGTCAAGTTCTGTGGTAGTAAATCTAAAGTTCATAAGGTTAAAAAGAGAACATTGGGTACTTGGAAGGTTTGGAAAAGACATTGGTGTTCTTTTCAAAAACTAGGTTCTGAACTAGGTGTCAGAGTACACCTTGATTATTGTATTGGAAATGATAGCATTTCTTCATCAAATGATAAAGAAAATTTCATAATAATACCATTGGATACCAATATTTGTCGTACTCAATCTAGATCCAAACAATTTGCTTTTGGTATATTTCCTATCAAAGAAAGAAAACCATTGATCTACCTAGCTGGTAACTCAGAGACAGAGTCACAACGATGGATGGCAAACATTAGACAATTATTAAGACCTAGAAAACTTAAATTTGCACCAGGATCTTATAATATATCTATGGTTGATAATACGCATTCAAGGGCATCAGGACTAATAGGTATTTAAATTATTGTATATATGAAATTCTTAATATTTAATTTGTACTTTTTAATATCTAATTACTAAAATATCTTTCAGGACTCTATGGTGATTTAATAACTAATACATTAGGAGTCATCATAAAAGATATTCATTCTGGTGATATAATAGAAATTTTTGAATGGAAAGAACTACATCAGTTTCATTTGGTTACAGCAGGACGACCAGAAGATGTTAAATGTATCTGTGTAATTCATACAACAAAGAAATTCCGTGCTGGAATTGGTGAGCTACATTTATTTTGTTCAGAAGCTACTAAATTGTTACAAGATTTAGTAACTCAGGGCCATGGTCCAAGACACAAACAAACCAATGGAAGACCTTTGAGTTTAAGTGAAGGTGATATTAGAGCAATATCTCGTGATGAACTGTCACGAAGTTATTCAATAATAAATGAAAGAATGGAATTGAAAATGCTAAGTAAAAGGAGAGAAAGTAATGAAAAATATGAAGAAATAAGTTGTAAAATGCCTAATAAAATGACAGAGGATGTTTATCAACCAGAGCCATATAGTCATCATGTCAGAAGGTATTCTAATATATCTACAACTTCTGGGATTTATGAAGAAATTCCAGATGAAACAAATAGGAATACAGCAGCTGTCTCAAGTTTCTACATGGAGCATCTTTTTTGTAATCTACAATCAGAAGAACCACCACCTTTGCCTCCACGACAAAGGTGTGCTTCAGAGTCCATGAAAGGAAGCAGGTTTGTATTTACACAATTTCTCTCAATGCAAGATTATATTTATTTTAATTTCCATTATTTGATATTTATATTTTTCTTTTTTAAGGTTCCAAGATGTTCGCATTTCTGGACCTAGTAGTTTACCTTTAACATCTCATAGAAACTCTGTACAGATTGAAAGAAATAATTTAGAATTCCAAAGAATAATGGACGAGTCTAATTATGTTCCTATGTTACCTCAGTTGAAAGATATCACATTATTAGAAATGCAAGCAGCTCTACAAGAAAATGATTACGTTATTATGCGATAAACAGGACATCAAATGCAGTAAACAAATTTCCGTGAGAGATCTGTTAATATTTACTAATCTAATATTTGATCTCTTTTCTAACTGCGCTTTTTTAAAAGCATATAACAATATTTGGAAAAACATATAAAAGACGAAGCATGAAATTCGATTTTTTGCAGAAATGATAGAGAAGAGGTCAAAAACTATTGTAAATAAATACCATTGAAGACCTATTCGTACAAAATTTGATATACTTTATTCAAAATTATAAATTTGTACATGTGCGAGGCTTCCGATTTCGGAACTATATTGGAGCGTATTGTTGCAGTTGACATATATTACTTAAATATGGCAGAAACTTTCTATTTTTTTGATAAATATTCTTTTAGCCGTAATTAAACTTCTCAGTTCGAACTAATCCATAACTGTTAATCGATACTTTGAGCCTAATCCGTGATTTGTAAAAATATCAAATTCTTCGCGATTTGAAAGAGCTCCACGTACATCGTCCAAAATGATGACCTTTGGATATCTATAAATGAAACAAAAAAAAGACTGTCATAGTTCCATGATATATATATTTATATTTGACATTTGCATCATAACAAAGAGTTGTGAATTTTATACGAAATATATGTATATACAAGTAGTTTGATTAAAAATATATATTTACCCATTGTCACTACATCTTTCCCAAGCTTTTGCCAAAGACATTCTGACTAAATCTTCTACAAGGCATTCAACAGCCTAGAAAAATTTAAAATATGTCAGAAATTAAATGTTTTATTCATTTTTAAATTAAATATAAAAATAAAAATAAATAAAATAATTCGTACCCGCATTATCATTCGACCTGCAGCACAATGTACGACAGTGGGTACAATTTCTTCAGAAATTAGTTTAATGCCAATTTCTCTGGCAATTTCACAGACGAAATCATAAAATGGTACTAATTTTGTCTCAAGTTCCAATACTATGATTTTTGTATTTGCAAACTCCTTATTTTCTTTTCTTTTCTGTAGTCTTTTCTTATTTTCTAATGCAATATCAATATTTACAACATCAATCTCAATGTCCAACTCATTGAAGTAATGTGAATTATAGTCACACAAATAATCATTTGATTGAGCTGGATAAATTTGTAGCCATTTGCAAAAAGCATCAGGTTCTGTACACGTAGAAACGTTCGTGATACTTGCAGAATCGGGTAAACTTTTCTGCTGTTTTATTGACCGAATATTCAAATTCGGACAAAGAGGCGTATAACCATGCAACCTTGTCCAAATCATTATTTCCTTAATAGTCCATAATTCATCCTCTGTGAATGGTCTTTTCTTCAGAAAGTATCGTATCATTCTTGCTCGATTCCATTCACAAGCATTTCGTTTTGCAACAGTATAGCTAAAGAATTCTTCTTCGCTCGTACAAGCATAAGGATGAAGTCGTCTGTAGTCAGAGTCAGAAGCATCTCGAGTTATCATAGGCATTCTTCTAACAATAAAACGCAGTAGGCCTTGAATATTTAGAATATTTGCAGTCTCAATTGCTCGGAAAACCTCGTCGTAAAATTCCTTTTTACTTTGAAGCTTGTATTTATCCTTGCCTAAAGTGATTTTTTGACGTGATGACTTGAATTCTTTTAATTCTTGATTGTTTGATTTTAACATTTGTTCAGTAGTTGATTCTTTTTCAAAATGAGAGAAAAGATCATTAAATGAGTTCTTTTTTTCTGCTATTTTTAGTACTGGTACATTGGAATTTACATTTAGGAGAATACTTTTAGAAACTTGAAATTTTAATCCCTGTTGTACTTTAGGATTTCGTACTTGGATTGTAGTTTCTGAATCGAAGGGTTTCTTCAATAAACTAACACCGCGTGAAGCAGTTAAATTTATCTTTGATTTTACTGAATCGCTATTAGTATTACGATTACGATCATCCGTACATGGAACTGCAATATCCACAGGAATTGTTTTATTGTTTTGAAGAACTAAGACATGTTTATTTCCAGATGGTTCAAACAATGGAGGAATGGAAATTTTCAAAGGACGAAGATTTGGATGAACTTTGGAACAACTCAGTGGAAGTACTTTCGACGTGATTCGACTAGCTTCATTTAACAAAGGTATGTTAGTTAATTCTTCTTTTATTTTTAAGTTATTTAAATCTCCATTTAATAAATATTCATTTGTTATTATATTATTAGTTTCAAGAACCTCCTGTACGTTTTCTTTCTGCTGACAATTTACTGTGTCAATCTTATTTAAGGATGAATCAGTTGATATTGTTAATGAATGATCAATAGTTAAATTTCTTTCAGAATTATTCAAGTACTTTGAACCACAATAGTCATGATCAAGTTCTATGTAAAATAACAGTCTTCTCACATTTATTAAATCTTTGTTAATTTTTATATCTTTTGGGGATTCTTTTTTCACTAAATCATCGCAGTTCTTATCTGTTATATTTAATGTTTCATTTATGCTATTACTCATGAGATCACATATGAGATTATCGTCTTCATCATTTTCTAATTTCACCTTACAATTATGTTCGCTGTCATTAAAGTCATAATCAGTAAGCCTATTTGTATTTCGTTTACAATTTCGGGAATCTGCATAGATCCATATATCGACGAGTGTCTCAGATCCTAAAGTTTGTAGACCAGTGTAAGTGCGATCTAACTTCAAATAATGAATTATATCCATAGGTTTATTCAGAGCACTTTTAAAATGCAGTTGTACTCTTAGCGGGAATTCACCCCAACCACGTCGTGAAAGACAAAATGGTGCTGATGTAACTTCCACAACATCATTAGGTCTATAACTAGGATGTAGAAAGAATCGGACTTTGTTAACAAAATCATTGATATCAGGATTCTCTTTATTTCCTCTAACATACATTGTCCACTTGTGACTAGCTGCATCTTCTCTCCACTCAGGAGGAATCCATTTTGAAATATTTCCAATAATTATACGCTTTCTCACTTTGTGTCTAATTCCTCTTGATGGACATTGAGATTCCAGGACTCCGCTGTTTGGTGGAATATATCGAGGAATTTTCTTTGGTCGCGACTCTTCATCTGTTTCATTGCTCCTTTTCTCTAATCGACAATTCTCAGAAGTTTGTTCTGTTTTTACTGTACCACTGTTAGTAATATTACATGGAAATATTGAAGTTAATTGTGGTGCTGTGAAACAACTTTCACTGGTTGATGCTGATATGGGAATAATTGAATTGTCAGATGACTTTGGTGTTTTACCAATCAATTGTTTTATTGCAGGATGAATCTGAGTTTGCTTTGCTTCTCCATTTTGTGAATTCTGACATTGTTTGCGATTATAAAAATCAGCTACAATGACATAACGCAAGAGATGAAGGACTTTTGATGCCCTGTGTAATCTGTTTTGTATCTCTAGAACTTCCTTTTCTTTTGTATTAATTTCTTGAGAAAATTCTTTTTCAATAATAGCTGTTATTTTTCTTGCAGTACTACTTCGTGCTAAAATAAAATAAAATAAAATAAAACAGATAATAATGATATTAGAATAAAATAAGTACAAAAACTATTACAAATAAAATCCTTAGAATGTTTCATTTTATTATACTTTATTAATTTTATCCAATTTGTAACAATAACGTTTTAATATTAATAATAAAACAAATGGAGTACAAACAGGTTAAGTAAAAGACTTCCAAATAGAAGTATCATATAAATTTGATCAAAGTTTTGATATTACCATTTTCTTCGTAAATTCGTTGATGTTTTTCATTATTTGCAGCGGATGGCCCGTAATCGGGATCTTGATCTCTTAAGGCACTCATTTACCATACTCGTTTTCGAACGTATAATAAAATGGAAAGATGCTTAAAACCTATTTTATCATAAATATGCGATATTTTATGTATAGTAAAAATCTTTCATAATCAGCAATGTCAGTTTTCTATCATAATACTTGTTATAATTTAAATGATGAATATGTGCTCCTAATTTTGTTTTGAAGTACCCTTAAAATGAAGGGTTGTAAGTGTCGATATGACTTTCTATAAACAAATAATAGAGGTTATATTTCCTTATTTCCTACGGTATTTTATTTCAGTCAATGTTACAAATTACGTTGCAAATACAAAATTGATTGCACATTTGACAATAATTATTTTACATGCATTAGTCAAGTGTGATATCATAGTGACAAATATATATACATACATATATCATGGTTCGGTTTCTATACCGTCCATATGTTACCTCATGATGTTGAAAATTTCAAGGAAGCGTGACAACATATGTGAAGTATGTTATTAGTATTATATACATACGTAAAGTTAGCTTAGTAACAACAGGTGTGTTTCATAGTAAAAGAATTTGATAAACTTTACTACTGCTTGTTCAAAAGTGTTTCAAAAAAACTTTTCAGTTTTATTAGTATTTTTCATTGTATCAGAATATATGAAAAAAAAATTTATATTGAATATCGAATTCAATTTTTGTATTTTTGAAAATTTACCGTGTCAATTTTCATTTAATTAATTGAAGTATGTGTCATTTATTTATTAACAATACAAATTAAATATGAATCTTAATTACACATTTTGTACTTTTTAAAACAATTGATAAGTATCTAGTGCAGGGACTTTGACAATCTACAATAGGGAAAATGTGCAATGTCAGATTGGTAATAGATAGCCTGGTAGTGTGTGCAAGTGTAGTCATGGCTGTCTGACAAAACATTCGAAATAACAAGAATTTATATAGTAGTTGGTTATCAAAAGTATCATGTCGAGTTTCTTACGAAGAACAATACTGTCCTGATTTAAATTCCGAAGAGTTTATTAGTGACATAGTAATAAAGCCTCCATTCAAATCTATGTACATCGAGGTGTACTTTGTAGATATTGTTGAGAATAATAATAAATAAGTGGATAGCAATTGTGGATCAGGAAGGAAGTACGGAGTTCAAGGCGCAGTGAGCGTGAACCTACAAGGTTCTCTTCTGAAATCTTGTTAAACGAACGTCGCGTCTAACGACCACCGACGATCGATTACGCAAGATGACCATTCTGTCGAAGAAGAAGACGAACGCCTCAAAAGATAGACGAGAAGGAGGCAGCACTTCCGAAGTCGATGTTCACGGAGTGCAAAACGAGCATAGCTCCGGATCCATCGCACTACCTAATAGCCCATATCAGGTGAATGAATATCCTCATTGCAGCTATGCTACTCGCACAATACTTGCATAGTAGTTGCAAGAGTGAACCTTAAACGACCTTTTGCGAACCGTGACAGGTACGTGCAGCGAACGGTTTCGCGGTCGATCTACACGGGGTACAGACCGATCACGGATCTGGTTCTATCGTTCTTACAGGAAACTCGTACGAGGTAAGAAATGTGAAAAATTGGTACATTTTTTTAACACTTATTTTTTTCAATCAATTTTTATATTAATATCTTCAATGTTCTATATTGTATAATTAATTATCTACAAAAATATCTATTTTTTTTTTTTATAGAAAATCATTGTTTATTAATTGTAATTAATTATGATTTATAAAAATATAATTGTAATTTGCTATGTATAATTTTCTGTGGTCAATAAATATATATTGTAATATATCAAACACTTGTTTTATATACTCTTGTATTAAAGTCAAGTGTAGATCGTCGAGAAGATAAGCATTTTGAAGAAGGAAGTGGTCCCAGTCATGGTAAACGTCACAGGCAACGAGCAAGTCCACACAGGTACTATATAAATGAAAAAATCTATAAATATTTAAACATTGTTTTATTAATTTTAATATCTATCATTTTATCAAAATGTAAGCATTTATATATGTAAAATATTTTATTATTTTTGTTATAAGTTATTTAGAGTTTATTTTGTCATTTTATTACATATAAAACTCAGTATGTATTCCTCGATTTGTCTGTTACATTATATTTATAAATTTATGTTTCATTTATTTTAAATGGAGTTTTTATATTACAGTGGTTGCATTGGAAGAAATTCACGTTCAAAACGTGAAAGAGAAAGAGATAGGGGTCGAGAAAGAGATAGAGAAAGAGAAAGAGAACACGAACGACAAGCTACACCTCCTACTGCTTCTTGCAGTGGCTTACAAGGTTCATATTTATAATGTTTTTTTAATCAATATATTAAGTTTATCATATAATATTAGAACAAGCATAAATTAATTTATAAATTATGTCGAAATAGGTTATTGTTAAAATGTTTTTGATATAAAATATAAAACATTTATTAAAAATATTAAAGTTAGATAAAGTAATAGTATAACTTACTTAGCTACAGATGGTGGTGTCATAGCCACCAATCGAATGGCTATTGGAGCTACTGCAAATTTAGAACATGAATCAGCTAATGGTTATAATAGTGGTGATGAATATACTGGCAGAACTGGAAATAATCTTACATTAGCTGAGTGGCAAGAGGTTAGTTGAATTAATTAAATTCAAATAAAATATTTTACTTTATTTATAATTATATTTTTCGTATATAGCGTGATAGGTGGTTTGAGAAACGAATGCGGAAAATGGGATTTATTGTCAAAAAGATGGGTGAAGATGGAGCATGTCTATTTAGAGCTGTTGCAGATCAAGTTTATGGTGATCAAGAAATGCATGGTGTAGTACGGAAACATTGCATGGATTATATTGTAAATATTGAATTTAATGGTGATCAAAATCCATTGTGGCAGAACAAATTTATCAATTTTATGATATAATTTTCTAGGCATCCAATCAGGAGTTTTTTTCTCACTTTGTAGCAGAAGATTTTAGCACATATGTAGATAGGAAACGACAAGAATATGTACATGGAAATCATATAGAGATGCAAGCAATGTCTGAAATGTATAATCGTAGCATTCAATTATATTGCTACAGTACTGGTATGTATTAATATGCATCTACACAAAATGAATTAAATTATATATATAATAATGTTATTATTATTGTAATTGTACACAGAACCAATTAATATTTTCCGTACAATGGTTGAAAGTGATAATGAACCTATACGATTGTCTTATCAACGTGGTAGCCATTATAATAGCATAGTAGATCCATATAAAGCTACAATTGGTGTTGGTCTTGGCCTACCGTCATACAACCCCGGAGCCGCAGATCGGCAACTTATATCAGATGCAGTACGTCAAAGTGAAGAATTGCATATTGAACAGGTGAAGAATTATTGTAATTGATTTTTATATTTAAAATTATTGTAAACTTAAAATTTCTATAATAAATAAAAAGAACACTTTTTTGTGTACAGACAATGTTAGAAGATAAAATAAAAGCAACTGACTGGGAAGCAACAAATGAAGCCATAGAAGAACAAGTTGCCAGGGAGAGTTATTTGCAATGGTTAAGGGATAATGAGATGCGAAAAGCTGTAAGTTTTGACTTACCTTTATTCATTGTTTTGGATAAATAGTACTAAAGCATTGTTCCATGATTTCATAAAGCGATCAGCCAGTAGCAGCAGTACAAGTACGGTAACAAGTGCGCAACACAGTCACGCGCATTTTCACCCTCACGGAGGTCGTGGTCAACAACGTAGCCACACTTCTTCTCCGACCACGACTCAAACTAGCCAAGATAATTTGCGTAATTCTCCAAAAGTCTGTTTTGTACTAATGTTACTAAGGCAATGTAATTTATGTATTACGTTTTGTATGTTTTAATTTATAATTTCAGATAAACGATTCGGTGAGGTACAATAAAAGATCTCCGCAACACCAGTCAGCCCAAGGATCTAGTATGTCTCATCTTGCTTCAGACTTTGAATCGAAAATTTCTCAAGAACCTGTGCCAGGTAGCAGTAAAGAGGTTCATGCTTCTCCGGACATCTCGTTATTCAATCGTCTTCCTCCTGAAGTATTTGGTAAAAAATATAAAACATTAATGCCTATATTGCCTATATTATCAAATCATAATTCGACATTAATGAATAATTTTGATGAATAAAAGTAATTTTTCTTATATAAAAATATGTTTATATATTGTTAGGTTTAACTGATTGGGAAGACAGTGATATACTCACACAAGTTCTAGCTACATCACAGCAAGAATACTTGGACAGCTTAAAACAATCACGGAGTTCTACCTCCTCTGGAAATGATACTAATAATATATTAGATTCCAGTAATAGTTAATTTTTAAAATTGTTATTGATAAAGTTCAAAGAAATACTGAAGCTAAAGTATATGCATTTGTATGCAGCGTTTTTCATAGGATGTGATATATCCGAAAAATAAGATAGTTGTAAATCAAAAAATGAAGCAATTCTTAGTGTTATCACATGGTCATTAGTCACTGAGAGACATTGATAGTTATGTTGAATGCATGCCTAATAAACTTAATTATCGGCAGCAAACCGTGTCACATTGATTTATATTAAGATCATCAGTACGTCAAAACTGATTCGAGCTGAGATATATACCGAATTTCTAAAGAAACGGTTGGATTGTAAGTTTACAAAGTACTATCATAATATATTTATAAGATTTAAAATCTTAATAAATGCGTTAATGTAAGTCTAATATTTTATAGTAGCACAAGAACAGTATAAAACATCAATACCCCTGTTCGATAAAACAATTAATATATAGAAGTGTTTAAGTTTATTAAGGATGCATCTGCTTTTCTACTTTAAAAACAAGAAATATAATCGACAGAAATGATCACATAAAAGCATCAAGAATTGTTTTCTTTAATTAAAATGTTTTTGGTTTGACGTATGGGTTTAACAATACATCTTATGGGATACTCTGTACATACTGCAGTATCATCTAATTCTGCATTGCACTAGGGTATAAGGTGGTTTGCTTTTTCCATTGAAAGTAAATGTTTTATGAGCGTAATCATCGTTTCAATTTCATTTCGAAATTGTCGATGTGTGCACGAATACTCCGAAACAGAAAAGAACAAACATCGCTCTAACGTGCACATTTTTTGAAAACTGGAATAGCCATATTGTTTCATCAGCAATGTTTCACCTTAACTATGGTCAAGATATTTTTTACAGTCGATTCTTAATTAAGAAACAATTCTTTCCTGTCGTTGTCCAACTATATTAAATTCTCTGCGTGTTCTTGAATGCAATATTTACTGTCATGAAGTATACAATTCAATCAGGTCAACTGCATCATTACACTCTTTTTTTCGTGGTATGATATGATACATCTAAACGCTTTAGGAAAAGATCTTTATTGCGTTATTTGTAAAAAAAAGACAAATAAAACTACTACATGTAATTTAATGCCCGAATTTTCCCTACTTTTCCATGTGCTTTTATTAATATATTTACTAATACATTTTAAAGATTTCAAATAATATTAAAACCATATTTTATAAATTATGAACAAATAAGAATCTGTTTTTGTAAACATTTTTTATAAACAATAATAAATTTACAATCTACGCAGATCATATTTTCGAAATATAATTAAATTTAATGTATGCATTATAAATTGAGAAGAGAATTATATAAAAAATGAAGAAACAATGAATTTGTGAATATTTTTATGTGATTTTATTTGTAGATTCGTAAGCGCGCCATTAAATTCTAAAACTAGTCGAGTCAATAAACTACATCAATTTTATGTTCCTTCACAAGGAGTATTTAATTAATTATTATATTTAATTAACCAGTTTCAAATATTTGACTGTAAATAGAGATTTTTAATATATTAAAAAAAATTCAAAATATAATAATACTCAATCGAGCTATTTGCATTGATCTACCATAGCAAATCTACTGATGCTTGATAAGTGATAGTTGAATTGAGTTGCGAATTTATAATTTAATCTAATTTTTGTTGTTTCTTATTATACTTGTCAAAAATGTCAATCCATACAAGTGATTATGTATTCGTAACATTATTAGGACAAGGCACTTTTGGGTATGTATACATATTAAATTCATTTTTTCATTTATTCATTATCTATTGTTTCTAGATCTGTTTACTTAGTACGACGGAAGAAAGATTCTAAACCGTTCGTAATTAAGGAACAAATTCTTAACAATATAAACTCTTTGCCCTTTGAGGTGAGAAAATTTATTAATTGAAATGGAAAATATTAATTATTTTAAATATTAGGATATCAAAGATTATACATGTCACGATTTTCTATCGTTTATAAAAAAAATACTTTGTTGTAATTATATCTTAAATGTGATTAAATGTATACATATTAATATTTAGAGCATATTAGAAGAAGTCCAATGTTTATATACATTGAGACATCCTAATATAGTAGCCTATTATGGTGCTTGGATAGAAGACAATCACAGTTACATTCTTATGGAATATGCAACGCGGTGTACTCTGAAGGATTTACTAGAAAGATACGAGGCACCACTCAAAGAAGAAGTAAGAATTTAGAAAATAGATCTCACCTTCTTTTCTCTTTACTTATGATATTCTAAATTCAATATATAAATATACATATATTAATTTAGGATGTGCTATATTTATTTTCTCAAATCGTTCTTGGAGTTCATCACATTCATTTCAAAAAGATCCTTCATCGAGATTTGAAACCGGAAAATATAATGTTAACCGGAAGTCGTGGTGATATTGTAAAGATTGGAGACTTTGGCGTGTCGAAAAATTTTAAAGAGTATCATTTATTTCAAAAGAATTATTTCATAAAATTTGTATTAGATTGCCAATAGTATCATGCAATAACATTATTATATAGATTAAAAAATTCATCGATCGTGTGCTGCGCTGGATCATTTTGTTATATGGCTCCAGAAATGTTGAAGGGTCAATCTTACGATCTTAAATGCGATATATGGAGCATGGGTATTATTCTTTATGAAATGGTTACGAAAAGTCATCCCTTCCCTGCTAGGGTAAAGTTAAGTTGATTTAATATAAATTTTAATTAACATAGTTTTTAATTTCATTTCCAGTTTTTTTACATATGTTTAAATTTTCAGACTTTAACAGATATTGTACAAATGATTTGTAAAGAAAAGCCACGACCTCTTCGTAAAGGAACATCAGTATCCATTGTTAATTTGATATCAAAAATGTTAAGAAAACATCCACTCTACCGGCCAAAGACAGATCAATTGGTCCTTTGTCCTTATCTCGTACCTTTTATTGCTCGAATATATTTAAATTTAGGACGAGTATCAAATATTATTGACAAAAATAATGAAAATTTTAGTCCGGATATATTTCTGAAATTTTTAAAGCCACAAGTAATACATAGAATTTTTTAGTTTAAGTATTTATACATTTTTGGAGCAACTAATTTTTTAATTTATATTGAAGTAATTATTATATAATTTTGTATATAATAATACTATATATAATAATAATAATTCTTGCATGCATATGCATGCATTATACAATATTTTTTTTAATAATTACTAATAATTATTACAGTTAGGTAGTTGAATGGAATTGTTCGAGGGACGGTTATCGAACTCGGCTTTTCTGTACTAGGATCAAAAGCGTAACGACAGGAAGTGAAGACCGGAACTGCGGAATGCTCGTTTTATTTCATCACGTGCATACCTTTTGAAAACCGTTCAGTTCGTATTTAGTTAGAGGAATATCATTCCTCTGTGTGTATAAAAGCTGCAATAACTGTGTTACTGACTTTAGAAAATCAGACAACTGTAGTAGAAGTTAAGTGTGAATTTCATATCGTGGGATTTAAGATTCGAAATTTCTTATTTTTATATTTAAAGTACATTAAATAAAATTAAAATTTACAATACAGTACAGATAAAGTAAAACGCTCGTAATCGTTTTCAAGATGGAATATGTATCCAAGAATCAAATTGAAATTCTTTTTATGTAATATCTCAATATTAGAACCTTCTTATACTTTTCTTTAAATACAAATTGTATAAAATACTTGAAAAATGTGGCTAATGTTATTAATATGTTATTGCCTTTATTGGTTGACTTGTGCTTCTTCATGGTATCCTGTGAATCCGATACTCGGAGAGCAAATAGATCTTGTCAGTGCCGCAAACGAAAGTTTTATTCTCAATTGGACCAAGAGTGTAGAAAATGATGAAACCAAAGATGTTTTTGATACTTTTGATACTAATGATGCCTTTAACTCAACACGATTTCCGTTCAACTCCATCGATCGTGATCATGAACTTTCGGATGAGGTAGAACGTATCGAACCTAGACATTGGCCAATTAAACCAGATATTTTATATACTCGAACAATTGCTCATTCTACCACAGAAATACCATTTCCACGAAATCCACTTAATCCATTCACTCTTACGCAAAGAAATTCGTCAACACAAAGGTATCTTTTTAAATTTGTTATAAAGTGCATTAAAGTTTAATAATCTTAGAATATATTTTTCATTTTAAGGTATCCACCGGTCACAGTACCACTACCTACAGCATCAGTGGATGAAGTTTTTTGCGACTTTGGATCATTTCCATCACAGATACTTTGTGAGTGGCAAAATGGTGATAGTGTACTAGATTGGGTAGCAGGAACCGGTATGGGTACTAATTGGATGGGTGGTCCCCCAAGTGATTACACCACTGGTACGATGGAAGGAGGGTATGATTCTTTATACATATATTTTTTAGTTATATTACATATATGTATAATAAAACAAATCTAAATTAGGTATGCCTTTCTTGAAACGTCGCAGTTACCACAAAAAGACGGTAAGACGAAAACTCTAGGAGGACTATTGCATAGCCCTCAGTTAGGGAGCACAGGAGTTGTTGGAACTTGCATCATGTTCAAGTATAGAATGGATGGACTCAGTGTCGCTGGTTTGAGGCTTTTACTTCATGTAGGTACGGATGAATACTCTATAAAAAAGGAACAAACCGAAGAAATTACTCCAGATAACACAACTATTCCATCTTGTAAGCCATTGGAAATTTTCGAGGATCGTATCATTTGGAATGCTCAGTATTATACTTTAGGTGTTTGGCAACAAACTCAAATACTGTACACTTATTCTGAATTACATTCGGTAATTAAGTAATTTTCTTTTCGAATCAATTTTTGTTTTGTGAAAAATGCTATAATTTTTATATTAAAGATATTAAAATCATCACATTGAATCAGAATATTTACTCTTAGTTAATCATCGAAGGAATTCCTGTGGATTCTACTGATCCAGCACGCCTATACAGAGGCTACATTGCCATAGATGACATAGATTTACAGCCAGGTACTTCGTGCATTGGCTTTTGCAATTTTGCTGGTGGATTTTGTGACTGGGCTAATGATGCAGAGGATGACTTTGACTGGACAATCGTAAGTTTATTACCAATTGTATTATCATATATAATAACAGAAACACGTGTACAGAGTCGAGGAAGTGGAAATCCTACAACTGGTCCAGCGATGGATAGTTCAACAGATCGTTCATCAGCTGGGGGATATGCATATATAGATTCTTCATTTCCACGTCGCCCAGGAGATAGGGCACGACTCATTAGCACAAGTTTTCCTCCATCAGGTGCCGATACACCTATGTGTATGCACTTCTGGTTCCACATGTTTGGCTCTGGAATTGGTACCTTAAAATTGTTCGTACGTCATTTTCGTAGTTTGGATGCACCGTTTAGAGAAATTTGGAGCCTGAACGGAAACGCTGGTAGTACCTGGTTTGTTGCTCAAATTACGATCAGTTCTCTGGATGATTTTCAACTTCTTTTTGAAGCATCTGTAGGAAACACTGGAATGGGAGATATTGCTATCGATGATATTTCTTTCACACAAGGATCTTGTCCAAGTAAAAATTTGTAATAAATAATTAGAAAAAAATATTATTCAAAATAAAATAGTTACGATTACTATTGATTTTCGAATATTCATTTAAGTATATTTATAGCTCTACCTCAAGTTGCTGTACCGACACCACGAGATTGTACCTTTGAGATTGATGAGTGTGATTGGATTAATTCTCGAGATCCTGATCGAGTAGAATGGGAAAGAGGGTCAGTACAAGTACTCAGTCCAAGAAACCAACGAAAATTATATAGCAATGGATATACAATCAATCGGAGAAATGAATATTTCCTTGGTTTGGGCCGACCAAGGGGAGGACCTCGATCATCCGGAGGTGGGACAGCACAACTCGTTAGTCGTGAAATGAAAGGCAGTGAGGAACCTTTATGTATTACCTTTTGGTACTTCATGTTTGAATCATTTATTGATTCTACTGGAGCAAGTTTAGGTTTGTATTTCATTACTTCTTTTCAATGTTTAACTATGTATATAATAATAAAGTAAATTTAAAGGGGTACTCCGTATATCTATACAAACGATCGAAGAATCTTCAACTGAATTTAGGCCAATCTGGCAACTGTATAATAACCAAGGACCTACATGGAATTATGCACAAGTCAGTATAAATGAAAAAAAAAGCTTTAATGTAGTTTTTGAAGGTACTTGGGGTCCTAATCGTGCTAGTGGCAGTATTGGCATTGATGATATCTCTTTTTATACTGGTAATTGTTCTGGTAAGTTTTACAATAATTATTTAATTCTATTCTAAAGTAATTACATTATTAATAATGTTTAGTGAAACCAGCTAGTGCATCTATGAGACCAGAAGATTGCAGTTTTGAAAAAGGATTGTGTGGTTGGGAGAATATTACTTCTTCTGAAAACGAGCGTACAGTCACTTGGCAGCGCGCATTTCTTGCTCATCGTCCTGCTCAGTTATTGGATAAAACTTTCGGAGCAACCGGCGATTTCGTTTTCTTTGACATATTTACTACAAATAAACAATCAATAGATGTACGACTTCGATCTCCCATAATACAAACATTGCCTGACGAAGAATCTGTCTGTTTCACTTTTTGGTTTGCTGCCTTCGGTGTTGAAGAATCTACAACGCTACAAGTTATTAAAACAAATATCGACAAAGAATTAAGCACCGACGATGAAAATGATGGAAATCAACAACCTGTAGGTATCTAAAATTCTTTGAATTGTAGGATTTTATAAACAATTAATATTTCATTTATTTTAGTTATGGTCATTAACAGCAAAGGGATTTAACAATCCGAGACCTGTGTGGACTGCTGCACAAGTGACAATAGATACTCGTGTACCATATCGTCTTATTTTAAGAGGAAGTGCTAGCAATGGAGGTTTCGCGATCGATGACATAAAATTTCAACCTCAAACTTGCACAAGTAAGATTTGCTTTAGAGCAAAGTGAAATGGACAGATATATATCATATTTTATTATTTTAATTTTGTAGTTCGACCAGCTGCTGCTCAATTCGTTAGTAGTGGAAGTTAAGGTATCAAAATTCTTAATTATTATCTAGATAGATATTATTCTATTAGTAGATTCTATTTTAATTTTATCTTTTACGAAATTTAAATAAACTAAGATTTGTAAATAATAAATGCAAAGTTTATCCAAAAACAAATATTTATTTGTATTTATTTATATAAATACTTAACATATATTAGGAAAACTTAACAAAAGCTGTCTTTCTTGAGAAATTGTCTTTTAATTTCAAAGATAAGAATACCAAGGGCCACACCAACATTCAAACTATTTACTTCTTTTTCTATAGATATATGAATACGAATACTTTTTCGTTCTTTCAGAAAATTATAACAGTTAAGACTCAAACCTACAGTTTCTCCACTTATAACAATTACAGATTCTTTCTTTGTGTAATCTATAGAATGATAGGGAATAATAGGTAAGTTTAACATAAATTGTTCCAGCACCTTTTTAGTTGTTGGTATTTCTGATTCTGTTTTCTTCCTTGTTTCATCATTATTTGGAAAAAATTTTGTTTTGATATCTTCTGGATCAATATCAAATATTTTTAAACTTGGATGAAGTACATCTGGTGAGTAATTGAACAAATATTTATCACTAAAGTTGCAGTCTGCTATAAAAATGTGACTATCTTCTTCAATCAGTGGTGGAACCTCATCCCATGTTAAAAATGAACGAATAGGTAAGTGAAAATGTGTACCAGCTGCACTTCTTAAAACTTTTGGATCCCATAAATCTACACATCCTAAATAAAAAGGTAGTAAATCTTAATTTAATCCTTTACTTAAAACATTGTTGATGTAATTTACAATTATATATTTTAAATATTATACCTTTAATTAATATTAATTTTTCACAGCTTGCAGCTGCAGCAACTCTCATAATAGACCCTAAATTTCCTGGATCTCTTACATTATCACAAATGATAGTGAGTGGTAATGCATTCTTAGCTGCAGTCTTTTTATATATATCATAAGATTTAAAAATTCCTGTATTATGGGAAGAAATACAATATGTTAAATATTTGTATTGTAGATATATTTAAAATATATAATTTTTATACCTAATAACCCAGGTGAATTGACTACACTAGACCATAACTGAATTGTTTTATATGGAACTTTGTATAATGGAACTCCTTCAGGTAATTCTAATTGTTCTATATCCAATGAATCATTAAAAATTATTGCACTTGGTATCAAACCAAATTTTAAAGCATCTTTGATTAATCTGTGTCCTTCTAAAATTATCTCGTTAGCTTTTTCTGCCTTCTTTCTTGATTTAAGTTTAGATAACAAAGACCTAAAGTAACCAGTTTTAAAATAATTCTTTTTACTTTTTGTGTAATGTTATGATTCTATCTGAGATTATAATGAATAAACGACATACGTTACAATACTATTATTTTTCCAAAGTTTGGTAGATATATTACTTTTTACAGTCATTTGAGTATTTTCACTTTCTGTTTTCTGAGAAATCTTTTGTTTAGTTTCTCTTGATTTTTTTCTAGGAAATGTCTTTTGTTGAGGAATTTGTGGTTTATTAGTATCTTCATAATCGTAAAGTTTATCTTCGTTAACAATCGCAACAGGTTTTCGACTAACCCATCTTGCATAGGTTCGTGTAATAGTCAAATTAACTGTAGGTAATGTTTTTATGTATCGAAGAGGTCGAATAGTATTATGTATAACATTGAAAAATACCATTATTAACGTGTGTAAAATTTCTGTTGTATGATGTTTATGACTTATAATATTTATTTTAATGCCAACAAATGTATAACTTTTTATTGATCTCGTAAAGTATTGAAAATATTGAAAACATTTTAATGAAAGTATTTTTTTTAATTATGCCTATTATTTACACAAATTAACTTAAAAATATACACACTAATTTTCAATACAAAATACAATAGAATACACGAGGCTCATTGGAATTTTACAGTAAAGTTTCACACTAGTAGATGTCGACACTTGTCAATGAAACAGTTCTGTGTTCAATACTCAAATGATATCTGGATATATATATCTAAATATTGTGACATTGTACAAAATGTTAATCTTTTTCAGTTTTACAGTTTTATATTCACGCTTTATTAAGATTAAATGATGTGATTGTGTAATTAATGCAAGTCATATTCGAACCTACATCATAATATTTTAAAATTAAAAAATAGTAGTTCATAAAATTTCTGTATTTATATCCATTATCAGATTTATAGAGATCAAATTTTTTTGTTTTATGTATTAATTTATGTATGTATTTAAATTTTGTTTGATATTTTAATTATTACATTGATAATACTTTTATCAAAAGGTATTATTTGTTTGTAGAATGCTTTTTTATGAATAAATTACTATTACGATAAGGAAAAAATTACTGGATGCTATATGGATTAAATAATTTAACAATATGAATTTGGTGATGCATTGGGATAATATGGTAAATGTAAAAAGTCACGAATTCAATTTGCCATAGCTAATAATATTATAGATATATTTTAAACATAAAATAAATATAGAATGAAATGAACAATTATGACAGGAAATTCGAAGCATATTTTCTCTAATTTGTTAGTTGAAATTTCAAAGACATGTCAGTCTAAGTATCAAATGTAATAATTCAAAATACATGCATTAAAATTCAGAGTAAACAAAATAAATTGTTATAGTACATTCTTATTAATTTACATTAGAAAAAATTTGATACTTTGACTCACATGTCTTTCACACCTTAAATTAATTCATTTTAGTTTACATAAATATACTATTTCTAACATCATTCAGGATATAGTTCTTCTTTTGATAATTCCACATGTATAGACGTTTACGTGTTGTTGTACACACTTGAAGAACAGAATTCTCACATTAAAATAGTCAAAACAAAGTAAAAATAGTTTGTAATCTGTATACAAAAAGATTTTAACCAGTCTCTAGTTTTGGACATCAGGCATTGATTCTACTATTGAAGAATCTTGGCCAGAGGGATCCATTCTTTTAAACTTAATCAATACAATGAACATAGTAATAGTCATGATAGCATAACAAATATATATTATATATATTTGTGTACTTTGATATGCATATATGTTGTGTGGTTTTAACTGTGCATACATGTAACATGCATGTGTGTTTCCTTTGTTATGTATTCATATATGCAGTATATGCACATGTCGTATTCAAATAGGTGTATACAAGTATAAAGTATTTATAGTCAAATATGAGAACCGCGGTTGGTATCAAACCGTACCGTATAATCGTTCAGTTTTTTGGTTTTTGTACGCGTCGTAGGAGCTGAAAGTGATTAATTCTCAGCATGAGATATGAATTAAGCCACGTAAATATCTGTTTTTAACCTACTTAATTTTTTGTTATACGATTACAAGAAACGTTTATATTTATTGTCTTTATATAATTATATACCCTTAAGCTCTTATTATTGGCTTATAACCTCTAATAGCAAATTAATGAGATAGAGAAAATTTATTCTTTCAAAGTTTTTTGGTTCGTATAAATAAGGTATTCTTTCTATGTTATATTCATGCAATAATTCTTATTCTTGATATGTTTATCTAACATAAATTTGTTGAAAGAGTAATAAAAATATTTTATTGTAAGTTAGAATCTACTGTTCAAATTTTGCGGGTAATCGATTGAGTGCTTAAGGGTTCAAAGTCATATCGATTGTACGTATAATCGATACATATAATGTTCATGATACAAGTACGTTGAACAAATATTTATGGTACGTTTGCATTTTCTTTTTTTTTCAAGAATTTTATTTTTGCGCGTAAGTATTACAACATTCTACTTTTCACATAAAATTGAAATTGTATCCGCGTCGATTATACGTACAGACGACAATATCTCTTAAGAGTAATTATTGTCTTCGGTACAGTTCCGTTGATTATGCTTTATTATCTCTTAACTTAAGTATATATATTAAATATATATATGTATATATTGATAATATCAATATAATATCAATATATATATTGTCAAAATTTTCAAAATATTAGTCTTTCTATTTTATTGTCCAAGTTCAAATGAGGCGGAGAAAACCAGAACATAATCGCTTGATCTTCATTCTTATACTTTAATTTAAATATCGATTTCAATATTGTTATTTGGATTATCTATTATTAAACGGTTTTATTTTGGAAGGAAAAAAATCGGAGCTTCCTCGGAAAAAATGTGTACAGAATGACTATTTATGTAATCATTAATTTTCGAAATAATACGCCGAATTTAAGTAAGTACTTAACTTAGGTGTAAACTATTATAATTTCATTTCAACAAAGTCTGAATTAATAGTATAATTTGAATAACATTCAACTTTGATTTAACTTCAACTTTTAAAAGGAGAAAAATTTATATTGTATTACACTATAAATGATATATATTATTCCCTCTCTTTGTTTTTAATTTCATACTATCTTCTTATCTTCATAGTGTAACAAAAGTGTAGATGGTAAATAAACAAATTATAATGTTATTTCTTCCCTTTTGAAAATTTCAATCAATTTGCAATGAATGGTTGTAGTATAATATAAGAGTTTGTATGTTTATCCGTTTAATAATTTTAAAAAAGTAAGCAATAGTTCGCTCGTGTTTTCCCCGCTCAGCGGCGTAAAAGTACGATTACGTCACTGCTGCAGCCATTTTCTGAGATAGTATTAAATTTATATATTTGAAAGATTCTACACAGGCGGCGGCCATGGCCGCGCAATTAAATCTGTGCAAGTTTAAACGAATTAAGAAAATATACATTCTGTAGCGTTGCCACGTATCAAGCCATTTCTGATTACGACTTTCCAACGATTCACTTTATTTATTGACTTCCATTTATTTCGGCATAGATAACATGTTGGATGAATCAAGATAACGCAGATATCGCGGTTTGAGATTCAAATGTAAGACAACGAAAGTCTTAAGGACAATTTTCGAGGACGACGGAGGAGGACAACGAAAGATCAGTCCGCAAAGGGACGATACTCACTGCCATAAACACAAGAATTTGGCTTACGCAAATTTTCGGATGACGAGAAATGTCAGAAAAGCAGATGCAAATCTTTTGTGTCCTGTTGCGTGCAAACGTATCGAAAAAACGGATACGTTAATCCATAGAATAGGTTCCTTATTTGGGAGACATCGGCAGTCCGTTGAGATACTAACGCGATAAGTATTCGCGGGACTGAAATCCACTCCTCTGCAAACATTCATTGTTATAAATTATTAAGATACGCTGTCATTGATAAGAAAAATAATGTATAACTATATCTTAACTCATTAGAGATTTTATTATAAAAACGATACTCGAAGGTTAGTATAGTAGACTACTGATTCTTTTCTTTAACTTAAGCCAATGTCGAATTTAATTTTTTTACATTTTTTTCTTTTTCTTTCAAGTTTTGTAAATACCGATTGAAAAGTAGCATCATCGGTCTTGGATGATTATTGGTGATGTATGAGTCAGGATGTTATATAGCATTTTATGCGTTTCAATTATTTTCAAGTGAGTTGAACTTATTTTTTATTTAATTTTATACATTTATCTATGTAATTGAAAACGTATTAACTAATCGAAATAATTGTCATTAGCGTATTTCCAATTATACTATGGGTTCGAAGATTTCAAAGATACACAATTATCTTCTACATAGTTCTTCATTGAAATATAGTAAGGATTTCATTATCGTTTGTTACTTACCGACCAGACTTGACCATTGTTCGGCACATTCGATGTATATCGTCCCTGACCAAATTCATAATTAATTTTCGTTGGGATTTGTAGTGCCGACTTCGAAAATTGTTTTCGAGGTTGTTGAATATCAAAAGGATGCTCATCATTTATGGAATCTTTTAAAGTTGATGTCTTTTCTGCGAGATTTTCAACTCTGTGTTGTTTCTAAAAGTTAATCATTTGTTTCTTATTTTTATCCATATAAAATTAGAATTATTGTTTTAGATAATGTTATGAATAATTAATATATTGCCAATCGTTCGAGTAGATCTTATAGTTCGAATAGATCTACTTTATGATACATAATATATTTCACTTTTATACTTCTGCGTAATATTTCGTATTCTAAGAAAATTTTCTTATAACATTGTTAGAAAGATGCGAAGGATTTTTAATTAACAATTTTTCTGAAAATTAATTAGATGATTCTGGAAATCATATATATGTGACTCGGTCGGTTGGCAATTTCATTCATTGTTAATGGTATTCGCAAATATCATGTTTATCTGTATTGTATTTAACTCTATTATTAACCTGTAGTTCACGAGCGCGTTCATTGTGAAGTAATTCCTTCAAATACTGAAATCTGCCAGCTTGAGGGACTTGTGACATACGATGGAAACCACCACCGACCATACGGAAGTTGTCCATTAATTTTCGTCTTGGCGATGGTGGATAAGAATTAATTGTTCCGTAAAAGCGCGTGCTTTTGTCGTAAAGTCGTGGTGGGTGCCGCATTCCATTTCTTAATCTGCTACCCGCTGGTGCTTTATGAACCATCCTTCCATAAATTGGAGCGTTTCCTGCCAACCTTCCTATACATCATTCTCAGGTAAAATGAACAATATTTAATAAAAAACATTGTCCTTAGTGATAAGAGGATGTTATTATATAAATAATTTTACAGATTCGTTGTATTTATATTAAAAGTTTAATTTTTGTTAATGAATTTAAAGTTGCAAATATTATATAGCTCTTAATTAATTTGTTTTAAGATGTTGTATATTTTTTTCTGATTAATAATAATTTATATAGGCGCTCCTCTGATCACTTTGAATAGCAGTAGTATAAGTAGGACATAAGTCGGACATTACTTTGCGTTACTCGGTATTACAATTAATACCAGTTTCCAAATAATTTTATTATCTGTTACGTAATTTGAAATCATTTCTTTTCTACAATTTTCATTAAAACATCCTATTGTACTTCTTTTAGCTAATGTAAACAATGTTAATGGACATGTAGACTATATGTACATTATAAACAACCACCACAAGATTGTCTTACCTCGATAGTTAAGGGAGAGTTTGGAGCGTTCAGAATATGACTTCCAGTCGTTATACGAAAATGGATCGTGATAAAGAGGGTATCCGGTACTGGTTTTAGCAGCTCTGCTTTGACGTTTGGTGTACCTCCACATTGCCCTCAATTCGTCGCATGTCGGCTCGGTCAGGCCAACGTGCTTCTCGGCGATGTCGCCGGTGTTCCCCGATTGCGCCGAGATCGAATCGATGTATCGTATACCGGCCACGAAAGGGCTGCTTGAATACGCTAACACGAAGGCGGTCCATACGGCCACGGTACGCATTTTCTACGGAATAAAATGTATGTATTCAGATGCAAGATTCAATTTGAGATACCAGAGACTGATTTTGCGTACATCATGATTTATATAGAAAATATTCTCATTGATGCTAAGGTAGATGTCCTTATCAGGATTACAAATATGTTATAAGTCGATATAATAAGAATTTAACTTTTATTGCTATCAAGTAAGGTGTCTAAGACAAATTAGTGATTGTTTCTTATTATGTTCTTTTTGTTGTTGACTATTAATGTTATTATAGCGCTGATTAAATCAAGATTATTAATAGGGTTTAATTCAAAACATTTTGTATGTATACTCTTCAGATATTAAATTGAAAGAATTTAAAAATTAGTGAACTTAGATAGATAACACAAAAGGTAAAATTTGTGATGAAGTATGCCGAAGTAAAGACTTTCAGAAAAGGAAAAATTATATATCGTAAAGTTAAACAAACCTCCTTTTTCAAATAATAAAGATTTTATCGAACATATATAGTCTTATATAGTGTATTTATAAAATTAATAAGTTTAGTAGGATTATTGTTAGGTAAATAGATATTTCACTCGATTTTTTATGGATGTTTATATATTTACTTAGTTATGATTGGTAACTCAGTTACTTGGATTAGTAAACTTTCTTGGATTAATAGATTACAAATTCTTTTTCATGTTTAACGAAATATAAAATATAATCAGTTTCAATATTCATGTCCTGGAATTTCAATTATGAATAATGTATATTTCTTCATTAACTCATTAACTGAATATTTAAGAATAGTCTACAGCACGAATTAGTTTTTATTCTTTTTCATTTCGCTTAAAAACAATTATTGAAACAATAGATTATGATTCCTTTTAAAAATGTATATCTCTTATTTCGAAAAGTGGTTTTCTAAAAAAGGTACAACTAGTGTTCAAATAATTATTATATATTAAATTTTCTAAGAATGTATTATAGAAATTAATTTTAAGAGTGATATAAGTCAGAGAATTAGGATATAACACACACACACATGAATATATATATATATATAATCGTTTATCACTTCAAAAAAAATTATAAAATATGTCAAATAAATATATATATGAATATATATATGAATATATATATATATATATATTCATATATATATTCATATATATATTTATTTGACATATTTTATAATTTTTTTTGAAGTGATAAACGATTAAACAAAATTCATTCGGTATTACATATTACTTGTTTTTCTATCCACTGCCTTTAATTAATTGTATTGTTTGCATTATTATTACTATTATTATTATTGATTATTATTTAATGTATAGTCACCGCATTTGGATAAAATTGACTTTTTTGCAAATTCTTGGAAAAAACAATGACAACATTTTTATTCAACTTTAATAATTTAAATAACTCTCCGTCAGTGTCCCTTTATTAAATATTAACATGTATTTCCTTACAAGTATTATAGATGAATGAAAAGTTGAAACTAAAGGATACAAAATTAAGATTAAATCATTTGAATGAGATATCCGAAACTTGAAGATTGTTTAATTTTTGAGAAATGTGTAAGTAACAAGAAATTTATTTTTATTAAAATTAATAACAGTATACCACACATATATTTTTCTTATATTTCCTCTTTTTACAAAGAAAATTTAGCTGCTTTTCGTTACTAGCTCTAACAGCTGTTTCTCGAATATATCTTTCTTACTCACCGTTCCACCTTTAATAGATGTATTTCAACTGATTCAAATATGAAAAATTACCTTTTTCAGTATATGTCAATGCTGACATCTCCAAACATCTATTTATCGCTTCAACAAGTTTGTCATTTCAAAAAACTTGGAATAAATCAAGAAAAAGAAGTTTGCAAAGAGCCTAACAGTAAAAGAAGATATATAAGAATTGTCAGGTTTCACTTATTGCTTATTAATACGTGACAGACATTATTTTCCTAATCCTTAAAATGTCGTTCATAGTTAGTAAAGCATCAAGTATAAATGAAGGAAGAAAAGCGTAAGTATATACTTATAACACTGACCGTCAAATACACGTTGTCAGGATATTGGTGGTCAAGCAGCGAAACTACGAGGGAAAAACGTTTTTCACTGGGAACTTCGATAAATCAAGGGGAGCAGCGAACGAGAGAGCAAGCAAAGAACGAGTCGCATGAATGGAGCCAGCGGACACACGGGGTGGAGAACGAGGATGAGAGAGAGAAACAGTGAGGGTGCCAAGGAAGGAAGGAGGTCAAGAGTGGAACGAAGAGAAACTGGTGAATGAACGAGAGTCAGATTCACTAACCTGCCAGTCCACGCAGTCCGGAAACCGAGGAGCAACTGAGAGAGGTGGTATCATCGAGGCAACTATTCGCCTTCCTTTGCTGCCCCCTCTTCCACATCATACCCCTTCGTTCGTTTCAACCCCTCTACGCGAGTTCTATCAAGCCCCCTCTCTTCCTTTTTCTTTATATACCAAAAAGAGCTTTTTGACAGGACATTTTTTAAAAGTTCACTTATAAAAATTCTCTTAACAGCCCTTATATTTTCCTATTCTCTCTATCATATTTATGACTTTATTGTTTCTTTTACAAATTTTTATTTTCTGCAATTAGTTTGTTGCCATTCTATTCAGTGGTTGTAATGTGAATTAATAATTTAGAACGTATTGTACTCATAGTAATAGAAAGAAAGTATCTATATTATATAATATAATAATGAACAATAACTTTTTTTTATCTTTGTAGGATTACTTTCTATAGAAGTTTTTTCTTGCAGTCTTCTTAATTTTACTTATTTTTTATCTCTTCTGATCTGATATTTTATTTGTAACTTTAAATAACACATTGTCTTATGATGTAGTTAAACTGTTCTATTGGGTTTAATGAATATGATATTATTTAATACTTCAGCTAAGTAATTTAACCAATTTAATTAAGTAATTTTAACCAATTTCGATACATTATATCATATTCTTTGAATCTCTGTAATCACTGTATTAAAATTTCTCAACATACATCAAAATAGTATTATTATTCTAAGTATATTACGTATTTTATAAGAAGTAAATTAATTTAAAGAAAAAAATCGTTATTTGTAGTCATCAATTCGAATGTTTCAGACGTGAGAGTTATCATGTTGTAGGGCTAGGGTGGCAGATCACGAACAAGCTTACGCTAAGTTCCGGTCCGCCTGCGCAACAAGTTTCTCCCTGGGACTTAAAATCGTTGTAGCCTGTACCTTCAACCTAAATGAGAAATAGTTGCATCACTGAGTTATCCAATTTGTCAAAAAATTAATATTACATTCTTTGTGACTCTATTTGTTATAAAACAAAATTAGAAATTCATGTTTTATATTTATTTCTAATGGCACACAATGCTAGCCTATGTGTATATAGCTAAACTAAATTTAACAATAAAGCCTTAAATATATCTAAATTTATAGAAAATATGTTTAAATTTCCATTAAAGTAACGATTTGTTAAATTTGTGAAATTAATTAATAAAATAATTTTAGGTATTAATTTGGGAACCTACGTGGCTGACTATTGCAAAACTAAACTACTTGATGCTTCACAAGTTAATTTGAAATGAATATATTTTTCGTTTCAATCAAACAAAATCTAAAATTCAATGCCGTAGTAGACAAAGAAACTAATGGACATTTCTCCATCGCTCGATATCTCTCATTTCTTCATATCTCAATGAAGAATCATTATTGTTTCAGTACAGGTAGTTTTATCGGAATGGAATAATCAACGCAAACAATGGCTTCTTGGTCTTTCAGCAGCATCGACAGTTCTAAATTAACAAACTCCTTATTGGGAAAATTAAATTTCAAACTTTTAAGGATCTTCCAAAGTAAAAAATTTTAAACTTTGCAAATATTTAAGTTTCTGCTTACTTTAACATGATTCATCGGTCTTCGAAAATAATGTTAAGAAAAGAACCAAGCACAGAAACGAGTTTACGTAAAAAATGTGAAGCATGAACTTTTTGAAAAGCATGGGGGTAAATGTCAGTTTTCAGGTAAAGTGGTTGTGCTTGCATTCGTGCGTATAATCGAAGACAGGGGTGGAACCCCCTCTCTTGTTAGTCACCCACAGCATTCCAGTAATCGGGCTACCGTCCCTCTTCTTCACTCCCTTTCCCCTCGATCTTTCAAGGCTCCTTCCCCTCCGCTAACCCCGTGTCACGGCAGTGCGGCTGCTGAATGATCGAAAGTGGGGGTAACTCATCTCTCCTCTAACCACCCACGCAATCAATAGCAGCCTTGCTGCTTCTACTGAATGGACTCTGCCCTCCACGGCCTCCGCTGCTCTTCGTCTGCTTTGAGCCGGCTTCTATCCCTTCTCACCCTCACTCTATCGATTACTACGCCCTTGCCATGCGATTTTGCGGGGGGCCGCTCTATCGACCCATCCACCTGTATTACAGTTCATTCATAAATCTTTGCTGCTTTTCACCCGCGATTGCAGGCTGTTTCTTCCCCCGATTATTTATCTGTAAAATTGTATTGCATAAGTTTCGCATTTGTACGTTCGTTTGCTGCTTATTTAGGATTCATAAATGTTAAAATTTGCAAATGCAAAAAGAAACACGTGTACAAATTTTGAAGTACTTTAGATTACTGTGTGTTATTACTGTAGTAATATTAAATTGACAAATGACTCTTCTGAAAATGTAACTTTGCTGTTCATACATTGCAATTTTATTCCAATATCTGAATCAAAATTATTTAATGAAAGTGTCTATTTTGGTATTATAGACATCTACTTAATAACGTAAAAGCAGATGTGGATATTATTCGATAGAGTGATTTTATAGACATCTTTCATTCATTTAGAATCCAATCACATCATAATTGAGACAATGAAGATATGCTTCAATAAATATTTGTTTGACGTCAATTGCGTAGGCATGAAACGATTAGGACTTTTATTAACAAAAAATTCGTACTCTTCGAAGAATCGAATTAATATAATATTTTTTTCTTGTTAGGAAATAAAGAAATAAAAATATAATATGAGTACAAGGATAGGAGAAAATAAATAAATATTTATTTATTTATAAAATGAATAAATAAATTCTTAAATAGTTAATAAATTCATTTATTACATTTCTGTTAAATACTGTACATTATTTTATCAATTTTAAATGCTCAAATACGTGTACGAATTAATTACTAGTAAGCACTAGATGTCTACAATTAATCATCATACTACAAACTGTGGGACCTTCGAATCCAGAACAGATTTTTTTAGGTGATTTATCTAACTAAACTCACACTGCTGCTTATATAAATCTAACTTGTATTATCGAATGTTGCAACGATCATTATAAAACATATACGTAGTACAATATGTGAATATAGTAACTTCACATTTTGATGCAATGTTTATTTGACATATTTGAAATTTAGGATGTAAACTAAGGAAAAATTTTATAAATACAGAAATATTCCGGAATATCGATACGAATTATTTCGTATCCGATACATATAAAGTAATTTGATTTGAAAATTATCTTTTCATTTCGATAGATTAGTTAATTCATCTTGAGTTTATTTAAAATAAAAAGTACGCGTTATAATATTCGATTAATCACGTCGTCCTATTACATTCTGCGGAAGTATATTCGTTTGTTGGAAACATTCATCTTATATTTCTAAAATAATCTACCTGTAATGCACAAGACCTATACGTAATACGTCACACGACGTTTACGTAAGTGGAACACCAATATTACAATTTATATGACGTGTATCAAGTGTGTACTTTAAAAGAGACGTAAAAAAACATGAAATATATGCAATTAGTTTGGTCCTTAACTGCTCGTGGAAGATCATCTCTCGCTACTCCAGTAGCTTTTACCGATAACTTCTGTAAACATGCAAGCCTTTTTATACAATATAAGATTTCTAAATCTGACATAGAAATTATGGAAAAATAATTGAATGCGTTAGCATAATGTGAACATACCGTTACTTACCTGTACGATTGCTAACAGGACTGCGACTTCGGGAATAACTCCGACTGTAACTCCGACGATTACCACGACCATTGTGCTCCCGACTGTGACTTCGACTTCTACTTCTCGAGTAGCTACGATCTTTCCCATTCCGGCCACCTCGAGACCGCCATCTATTTCTTCCACCTAAATATAAACAATTAATTAGCATTCGCTCAATACGTTTAACACTATAATGATCAAATGGAGGAAATTAAATGTTCTATTGTGTTCAAAGTAATAAGATATCTATCTTTTATGATCATTTATAAAGTTTAAAATTTATAAATAACCCCTAGAAAAATATGTAAATACCTCTATGCCTGCCATATCCACCACTTTTACTATCGGCAAGTTCCAGTAACTTTGGATTGATAACTTGATTCGCTTCTTTTAATACCTGGATTAGGTCATTAGCCTTATTCGAATTATTAGGTGTAAAAAAGGTATATGCGGTACCAGTTTTTTGCCGACGACCTGTTCGACCGATTCGATGAACATAATCTTCCGAACAAGAAGGATAGTCAAAATTGATGACAAACTTGACGTCTTCAACGTCTGAAATAAAGCATATGTATTAGCTGTTAATCACTAAAAGTATCCGCCTCCCAGACAGACATCAGTTAAGATAATAGTATTGCAAGACGTACATAAAATATCGAATTAAATATCAATCATTTATTTTAAAGAAATGTTTAGATTAAAATACGCTCTCCAAAAGGTAGTACTAGGATCATTTACCTATAAAACTGGTTAGCTAAGGATATCTTGTAAATTTATCTGATTATATGCCTTAAGCAAGTTACAATATAAAAAGAAAAAGGGAAAAGAAAACTAAAACAGAAAATGAAATCTTATAAAACATTTCATTTAAAACTTCTCCAAAAATAAATATTTGCCTGTATTGTTAATTTTACTTGTATAATAAAATTCAAAGTACCAAATAAGAAACTTTTCTTTAGAGAGCGTTTCAAATAGAATATTAAGTGCTGAAATAAATTTCCTCGCAAAAACAATTCTGGTTTTTTCATATACCAAAAATATTATTTTTGTTAATATACACCATTTAAATATTTTACATATCTTGTGAAAAAAGGTAGTAAAATTTTTCATTTCATAAAGATACATGATTTGAAATATACATTATATTATCCATTGTTTTATTCATTGTAATAAGTATTGTACATTTGTAAATATAACAAACAAGCAAGAAAAACATTTAAGAAAAATAAAACCAGAATTGCTATACATAAAACCTTATTTCATACGATAGTTAGTATAATGTGAATATGTAATGATATAGTTATCATAAAGGATTCAGAAGGATAAGGAAAATGTAAATTCAAGTGGATATAAGAGTGATATATGTGTATATGTATATAAAAATATACATATATGTATAC